ATAAGAGTTGCAGTGGTACTGGTTGAATTGCCCCTCAATCATATAAAAGACTACACGATTCCACTTAATTTCACACAGTTTCGCCTCCCAAAAAAGATTCTCATCCCACCTACAGGACAGCTCTAATCTCGCCTGGGTCACAGCAGCTTCAACGGGAATCGAATCAAAGAAGGTAAAATTCTAGAAAAATAAGGAAACAACCTAGGCAAGTAAAGTGCTGAATAGACAGATAGGAAAAACATTTAAAAAGTGTTTATTCAGAATTAGTAGACTTTACTTGCAGGGCAAGTCAGGCCTTTCTGATATCACGTTTTGTAGTAGCATTGCCTATGGAGTAAACTTGTATTTGCTGTTAAAACCGACTGTATCACTTATATTCAAAATGAGTACGTTTCGAAACTACCACTAGATATTGTGTAAAAATTGTATTCATCCTAGATCGAATGAGCTGATGAAGGACGGACAGTAGAATTTTCCAAGAATGCTACGAGTAGGCTTTAAAAAGCCACCTTAATTGGGAATACTTTTTGGGGGCAAAGCTGGGTGGAACGACAATGACATCGTGAAGTCTACTTATATCATTGTGCGAAAATCTAACGAACCTAGCATGAGTGCAATTATTATTCAACATCTACTAGTAATTTCGAAACGTACTCATTCTGAATATAAGTAATGCAGCTAGTTGTAATAGCAAACACAAGTTTTCTTCATAAATAATGCCACTATCAAACGTGATATGGGAGAGGCCTGGCTTGCCATCAAGTTCACGTCTACCCTGTGATCCAAGAGCATCATTGGCAGAGTTACGTCGCGGTAATATGCTGAAATTACTCGATTTCCCTCGGAAGGACCAGTGAGACCCAGGCGAGTTCGGGACTGTATTCCACTTTTGATGGGAGTATATTTGGGAAGCAATACTAGTCGAAATTTAGTGGAAATGAGCCGCCTACTCATATGATTACTGGATGACTAAAAAAACCGTTATTACCGAAGAAACTATAACATAATAACTAGGACAAGGTAAAACCTAAAGGAAAACTGGTCCATAGACTAGATCGAATTCGAGACAGCTTAATAGATCATAAGCAAATAGAAATAGGTATTAAATAGGTTGAAAGCAACTGCACTACAGCAAAATTAAATTAACAAATATATGTGCAATTGTATTGAATTACAGAAGAAGAATAATACTAAACTAAACAAATATAAATTCCCTGAATGAGAGCAAGGCTATGTGAAATTCAATAGAAACTTCAGCTCTACTCATATCACTGTGGGAAAAATCAACCACCAATCCTTCATCGCCTTAAACGAAATAGCGTCAACACAATTCATATATATGTGTATGTATGACTGGGTGATATGGGACTCATGGCTAAATTTTCCCTCAGGATGAAGATAAATTTTACTTAACCTTTTAAGTCTGGACTATATTTTCGACCCCTAACGGGAATCGAATCCTAGTAGTACAACATTTGTTGCACTATTTAACAATCAGTTATTAAGGGTGCTTTCCTACATTATTTTTTGCAGTATAATTTAAATTTCAGGATGAGCAGGCTAATTCTATTGACATGAGGACAGTTTGTTGTTGTAGGAATGCTGTCCAGGTTTGAGGATGTCCGTCATTTGACAATATGTACTAAATCTCGGCATGCTTTTGCCAGGGCCGAAGAAGGATGTCTCTAAGACTTCCTTGTGAAGGCCAATGGAATCTGCTGTCATATTCTGATCGGATTGGTTTATGACTGTTCCTAAGACTCCTTGACACGATAAAACTTAACTCAACTAAACAAATACAAAAACAAATAACTGAAGGTCCAGGCATATCAAAAGAGGCAGGAGAATATGATTAGGGTAAAAAGAGGTATATAGTAATTTGTAACCGTGTATAACAAGAAAAATCGAAATACAAGAGGAAAGAAGAGCAAAAGGGGAAACTGGTTAGATAGTAAGATATTTCGACCTAGTGTTTATTTCAATAAATGAGTTGATTGATTAATAAAATTATTAGTTAACTAAAGGAATGAATGACCTGATGCATAATAATCTTAGATGATCCATTTATGAGCTACTTTTATTATTAATTATTGTGTTATTTATTTATTATTCGTTTATTTTGACTATCACTATATTAACTTGTGCATCGTTATTTTAGTCAACTGGCTAAAGTTACATTTTTGAATCAGTTAGGCCATGGAAATTCCGGCATTTTACTCTTTGCAGAACTCGGAGGACTCTAGCGAAGGGGCAGCTACACCTCGTCTCGATCTCAGCTACACGTTAATGGATACGAACCAGTCCCAGGAGGCTGAAAAGCACCTGAGTATGGCCTACAACGAGGAGGCTACAGTTTCCCAGATGCCCCTGAGCCTGACATTCTCTAGCCCAGCCCTTTGGTACCATTTAAGTCGGCAGCCCGAGTTGTTCCGGGAATTGTCTACCGGCAGCCTGACCGCTTCTCCACCCTGCGTCACGCTTGAGTCGGTGCTGGCTGACAGATTTGGGGAGGCTTCGGCTTTCGGTAGCCAAGTCAGTCGAGACTACGTGTTCAGCATGAGCGCTCTACAGGCGGGCTATTCGCTGCGGACGTCCACCGGTAGCGAGCTCAGCTTCCAATTCGGCTGCATGCAGCCGGCCAGATCGGAGCTCAGCTCTTCGTTGGGTGAGAACGTGTTTGTTGACATTTTTGGATGCTAGAAGTCTATCTATATTTCTTACATATGCCCACTGGGATTGAGGCTGGCAGTGATTGGTGAACAAAGAGAGGTACAGATACCAGTGGATCTGCCTCCACATGAAGGTAATCTAAATTCGCAAAACGTCTGGCACAATACTGTTGAAACATATACAGCCGATTAATGTTGCCTCCTACTTTCCCCAAAACAAGCAGACTGATTTTTAAGCTCACTTCCATATCAAGGGGGAGTCTGTGATAAAGATGAATCCTACCTACCACCTGTTGGCTGGTTTTACTGGAACATTCAGATTGATGCAGTCCACGAGACATCTTCTAACGTTTTGGGCGAAGACTGGCTGAGCCTTAATTCGTTATGTGACGAACATCGTCAAAGTTGAGACTCATTCTTGTAAAAGCCTCAAGTTAACACTAAGTCAAGAAGATATATGTCGAAATATACTCAAACCGGATACAAGTAGTGTCATTGATTTTAAGGGCAAATACATCATGGCATATTTGACAATCCCATTGTGTGAATTGGAAGAGGCTAGCGACAAACTAAAAACTGTATTAGAGTACCTTTTATTTCGTTTGAAGAGGCGAGTGGAAGGGATTCGTAAGTTGGTTCCACCGGAGGCTGTGGTGGGGTTTCCTTAGAGCTGTGGTTGTGGATTTGTGCGAATATGTCCTCGCCGCACCTCCCTGCAACCCCGATCAATCAGCAGTGCTGTAAGCCGAGGACCTATTCGCACAAATCTACAACCACAGCTCCAAGGCAACCCATTCACAGCCTACGGTGGAATCAACTTACGAATCCCTTTCACTCGACTCTTTAAACGGAATGACAGGTACTCCAACATGAATATATTAAGGGATTCTTTGGAATCCAGTTTTAATACATAAAAAATGTATCCTGCGACCAAATAGCTCGGTCTCGATTCCTTTTGTGAGTGCTTATGAATTTAAGGGGTGAGGTAGAATTCCTTTAGAGTGGTAAAGCTATGGAAACTTTACTCGTATCCAAATTCCTAAACGCATTGTTATGAGATAAACTTAGCGACCAGCTACTAAATTACCTCTAAGGATACGAAGAGCAAGTTGGTTTCGATGAATCTCCTGAGATAATATTTTAAGGAGGACCTTCATTTCGAATGAAAGTGCATGAAGAAGATATTTGTTGGTCGATCTCACCAGATGAGGACTGATGAAACTCGTTGTACTGCAGTCGTTTGGCTTTTATACGATATTCATGTTGA